ATTGCAGTACTGTACCCTTCGGTGCATTTTAGAAGCTTCGTACCACGAATACCTGAAGTAATCAATAAGAAAGTCACATACGGCTTTATTCACAAAACCTTCACTCGCAAATAAAAACGAAAAGGGCGATGTACAGTACTTCAAAAAGGACATGGTTTGAATTTCTGAAAGAATTCAGAGAACCACTCTATAAACAAAATATTCAACAGCCATCTCTCCCGTTCTTGTACCTGTCAAATTTTTCTTCCGTGGCTCGAAAATGCTCGCGATTTCACCGAGGGGTGATTGCCAAATTTCGCTGTCATCACCTTCCTCACACTACAGCACAGTATATCTCTCTCGCATTCAACAGAAGCCGTATTTACCAAGAGGCCAAGTCGTTCAAACACATTTTCCTGAATCAATTTCCCCAAAAAGGCAACAGAAAGTCCGAAAATCGTCATCAGGTGGTGAATTCGTCGAAAATCAAATCGGTTCCATCTTGATGAGTGTCAAAACGCTTTCAGGCTTCAAACAAGCGGATATGAAGCAGAAGAAGCAATGCCACATTGGTTGTCCTTATTCCGGGACATCCTCACGTATCCCTTATCTCCCCAAGTGGTTCCCCATGAATTCTTGACCAACCAGAAATCTTGTCCCGTTTTGGCGTCAGTTCCGTAGCCGACAGCAAGAACACCATGATCCAAGTTTTGCGGGTTGCACTCCGGCTCATCATACACCCCTACCAAAATATCAGCCAATAAACCATTTACTGTACAGTAATGTATTCAAAACAAATATGAATACTGTAAATTCGCTAAAACTACCTTTTCACACTATGATCCTTGAATACTCCACCTCTAGTGATTACTTCAATAATTTAACCTTCCTTTTACCTCAAACTATCCAAACAAAACACGTTAACAACAGAACCTAAAACCAAAAATCTAACTGTCCAAACATTGAATCCAAATAACGTGTCTCAAACCAATCATAGCTCAATATCGAGTCAAAAGTAAATTATACATGTACGAAGAACGTAATCATCTCCACTGACATGAATGCGGAAAAAATACTGACGACTTGAATGCCAAACCCTCAAGAGTAAAACGACAGCTAAAATCTTCAAAATTCATTCAAACAAACAAAATAATCTCTGGGGGAAACGATTTTGTTCATGAGAGTTCTCACCTTCGGAGTAGAACTGGAACGATTCGTGGGAGGCATCAATGGCAACGGAAACGGGTCCCACGGATGCGATCGCCTTCATTAAAGCCTTCTCGTCTCCAGCAGGAACATCAACAAAACCAGAATCCGTGGCACCGGAATTCTTGGGATTGTATCGGCATTTGTCGTCCTTTGAACGAACGAAAAAAAAGGAAAATTTCCACGTCAAAGGAAGTTTTACTACGTGTTTTACTACGGGAAACGAGTCATTAGACGGGGAAAAAGACATTTCTTTGCTTCCGTTTCTTGAGAATGAAATTAATTTTTTATCGTAAAGAATTACATAATGCGACGGAGAGTTTCCAATAATATGTAAAATTCAACCGTGGCCTAAATACACACAAAAGTTACACCTGAATACGCCGAAGGCTGATAGTGAAGAACCTTTTCTGAAATTAGATGACTCCAAAAATTTCTGATTCTAATAAATATTCTACACAATCTCCAAGGAATCCGAGTAACCTGTGTCTGTTCTTGCAATCAAGCTCAAGTACAAAAATAGTAAATCTAGAAGCATAAGAAATTCGCAATGCCCCATTGTTCATTTGGAACGATGCAATGTACCAAATACCCCTGACTACCAGCGACATCTACCTAAGTTGAAATAATTCAACGCTGTAATGGACGCATGAAGAAAATTTCCCCTTCAAATAAGACGAACGACAGCCCAGTATACACCCCACAGACGGAGAAATCAGATCACCTCGGCTTCGTAGGGGTAAGTCTTCTCAGTGTCAATGCCACCATTGTCCTTCACATATTGGAAGGCTTGATCCATAAGTCCGCCATTGCAACCATCATTGCCATACTTAGTCGAGCAATCAATCAAGTTCTGTTCGCTGAGGGACA